TCCCTCAAGATCTCACTCGGCCAGCTCGGATCCGGAGTTAAAAACTTCGAATTGTGAGTACATTGTATACCAATAGAAACAAGAGTGTCACTGTCATACCTAATGTACCCAATGGTGATGATTTTGCCGATTTAGAAACGCTGAAAACTAACTTAAAAAACAAAGACAAAGAAAAAGTGGTCGGAGCAGTCGTATTATTATTATTATTATTATTATTATTATTATTATTATTGTTGTTGTTGTTGTTGTTTTTGTTACAAGTAGAAGTAGTACTATTAAGTGATTTATTTATTATATTAATGATTTTCTGAATGTGTTTTTATGTCATGACAGTCAAATCTACAAATAAATAGATAAGCATAAAAAAAAGATATTTGGTTTGTCGACTTTGCTTCAACATAAGGTTAAAAAAAAACAATGTTAATGCTCTCTCATCATTTCTCTGTCATCTTCCTTTGTTTAACCTTGTTGTGTCAGTGTGAACCTTTGGGTGAAAATTAATTTCATGTTTTTAGCACTAGATGGAGACAAGTTACCTTCAAGGGAGAGTCAGATTCCTTCCCAGTGAAAGAGTTTAGTTCCTTCTGTGCTTTTACTTACTTTTATGTATGAAGTGATGAGTACTTTGATGTCTGATAGTGTAACTTAATGGTTCATTGCTGTGTTCAGCATAATCTTCGGCTCTTCTTTCGGTCATGTAAGAAAAAGACTGAACTCTGCTTTCTGGTTTCAGAGAAATGTTTAAATTTTAACAAAAGCAAATCAACCATGACACGTAGACTTTCTATGATTATTCAGAATCATTTCATGAAAGGAGCCAGTTAAGATGGATCGGGCATCTAACACCGGGAGGAGGCCCTGGGGTAGACTCAGGATGCACTGAAGAGATTATCTTGGCTGGTCTGGGAACGCCCGGACATGCTGGAGGAGGTGGTCGGAGAGAGGGAAGTCTGAGCTTCTCTGCTTAGACTGCTGCCCCCGCAACCCAGGGAAGAGCAGAAGAAAATGGATGGATTCATAGCTGGATGGATGGAATTTCATGTATCAATGAGTTCTTTTCAGAAGTTACAAACTTGAGCATTTTATTCTGAAAAACTCTACGAGCTGAAGACAGGTAACCTCACAGAAATACAAACATGATGCTTGTTAAACATAAATACATTTATAAACATGACACTGTTATAAACACTTTCCTGAACCACCACATCCAGCCTCTTATAATGCTGATTTTAAAATTCTTTGACTTTTATCTTAAGCCTTAAATAATGCTGAACTCAGTTACATTTATGATATTCTCTCACTTCTCGTCCTGGACATCAAAATTCCTCAGAGAGAAAAATTGTGGATGTAGCTTTTTGCTGCTGATGTCTCAAAACTGTGAAACAGTCAACCTGTAAAAATAAATACTTTTAAGCCATTGGTTCTGATATGTTTTCTGATGGGCTGAAGGTCAAATAAAATAGCAGCAATTTGATGAATGAATTACAAATCAGACAGGACAGAGTTTCTATGAGAGTTACAGCAAACTGCAAAAACATAGTTGCAGGTGATAATTATTGTGCTCTGAAACTCCTGTTTTTAAATTTCATGTGAACTAAGTGCTGTGGAGACATTTTTAATGGTAAAAATGTTTTCTGCTGTGAATTTGGTGAGGTGACTGGAGAGCTCTGTGAATTATAGGTCTGTTTTATTAACACTTTATTAAAGGCTTTCCTATGACTGTAACTTCTACACATCTAATTACTATAATGTGACGTTTCACAGTGCACCATGGATCACTAATCATGATTTACTGAAGCCATGATGTCCTAACCTAATGTCCAAATTAAGAGAGATTCGTTTTAGCATAAAATTATTAAAATCATGATTAATTACAGCAGCAGCACGGCAGTACGGTGGCACGGTGGTTAGCACTGTTGCCGCACAGCAAGAAGGTCCTGAGTTCAATTCCACCATCAGGCCGGGGTCTTTCTGTGTGGAGTTTGCATGTTCTCCCCGTGTTTGCGTGGGTTCTCTCTGGGTACTCCAGCTTCCTCCCACCGTCCAAAGACATGCAGCTTGTGGGGATAGGTTAATTGGATAATCCAAATTGCCACTGAGTGTGAATGGTTGTCTGTCCCTATGTGTTAGCCCTGCGACAGACTGGCGACCTGTCCAGGGTGTACCCCGCCTTTTGCCCTATGACAGCTGGGATAGGCTCCAGCGCCCCCGCGACCCTGAAAAGGATAAGCGGAAGCGAATGGATGGATGATTAATTACACAAAAATATTTTAAAATGCCTGCTATAGATAACGAAAACAGTATAAGTCTTTAAATAGTGTCATTAAAAATTATGCCTGTATATTATATTATATATTATAACAGACTTTCAAAATGCAGTACTGAGACAGACTGATGAGTCCAAAATGTCTGCATTAATAATAAGGATCACAGTTGAACTTCACACTCTTGGCTGTTGCTATATACTGAATATGATGGCAGAAAATACAACACTAATATCATGCCAGGAACTTACATTGAATCCAAATAATTGCTCTTTAAGTTTTATTTAGTTGCCAAAAACATGGAATAAATGATGTAGTGATATTCTGATATTGTGACAGCCACAATCAACACATAGCCTTCTATTAGTTTCCATGAACAGTGGTCTAGAATTCAGCCACATTCCCTGAATTTTTATATTATTATTCTGTTTTTGCTTTAGTCTGCCCCTCCACGCAGTTTTATTGTGTTATAAACATAATAAGTATAAAACATTTATTTAATTATCAACCCCCATATCCCAACATCAAGCATCTATAATTTTCAATTAAAAAAGTTTTGGTGCAAGGCTGTTTCCAAAGATTCAGTTTTACTGATTTTGTTGTTAAAACTTGGTCTTCCTGTCATCTCGCTGAACTAACCCTGCCACAGCCTGACGGGGAGAGTTTGTGTTTTAGAGAAGGCGACATCACATGACACCACTGTTACAGAAAGAAAAATCAAAATGACAAAAAAAAAACTTTTTTATGTTTATTCTGCTGTTCTTATAACTGCTGAGTTTATAATTGGACTGAATTTAAATTTCTATGAATTTTACCACTCTCATTTGTAATTTTGTTGTTATTCCGACAACCTATTTCATGTTTCTACAATGTTAATATAGTAAAGCTTTCTTTGAACAAAATAGGGAAATAAATAGCATATTAAAAAAAACAACAATAACAAAAAAAAACCAACCACATCATCATTGATGTAGAACAGTTGGAGTCCATCCTTGGCTTTTATCTAAGGAGGCTTTTGAATGCAACACTTTTACTTGTAACGATATATGCAATGAAATGAAGGTCCAGATCAACCACCGGCAAACCAAACAAGACAAAGCAATTGTTTATAGACTAAACCATCCATAACTAATTAATGAATCTATTAATCATGAAATCAGTTACAGGGAAATTTGGAGGAAATTGTTCCCAGTATTTTTGAACAAAAATGAAATATTTAATATGAATTTAAGGCTTTTGGATCTTTTGGGAGGACAAAACACATCTTAAGATTTGGACAAATGAATCAGGTTCATCCATAGATCAAAGTGGTGTTTTGCTTTGTTTTGTTTTTTGCTTCGTTTGTTTCCTTCTTCTAAAAAAATGAGAGAGAGACAACAGGAAACTTCCAGATCCATGGCAGACCCATGAAATAAAAAGGTCACTGAGTTTTTCAGAGGCTGATAATCCAGTTTGAGTCTGAAAAGTTAAAAAGATGAAGTGGACGTCAGATTTTCAGGAAGTTTTTTTCTATTTTATGACACAGTTTCTTACATGTATGTACACTGAGATCCAAAACACTCAAAGATCCACTGAGCACTAAACTAATGTCTCCTTTAACTCAAGTAATCTATCAACCTCAGGCTGTTAGAGGTTTTTAATTTCTTCGGTACTACACGGTGGTTTCTCCCTGGCTACTATTGATCAGTCTTTGATAAAAACGACGCCACGACTGTAGAGTTTTCCCTGACCAGATCCAGAACCCTGATGTTATGCCCACAATAAGGGTCATCAAGTACTTGATCATAAAGACGGTGAAGTCTGGCGTGTTTGATGCAAAGTTTGATGCTGGGCATGGCACAGCAAAGTGCTTGCAGGTCTGCATGTGCCAGGTTACCTCCCACTGCGATCTGAAGGCCTGCTCATAGAAATGGCAGGCGATGACAATGGTGGCAGGCACTGTGTACAGCACACTAAACACACCAATTCGCACCATCAACTTTTCGAGCTTCTCGGTCTTTGTGCCGTCATGCTTCATGATGGTGCGGATACGGAAGAGTGATACAAAGCCAGCCAGCAGGAAAGAAGTTCCGATGAAGAGGTAGACAAACAGAGGCGCCAGCACGAAACCACGCAGTGCATCCACGCTGTAGATCCCCACGTAGCAGACACCAGTGAGCAGGTCACCGTCCACCTGTCCCGTAGCCAGGATGGTGATGGTCTTCACCGCTGGCACCGCCCAGGCTGCCAGGTGGAAGTACTGCGAGTTTGCTTCGATAGCCTCGTGACCCCATTTCATCCCAGCAGACAGGAACCAAGTGAGAGAAAGGACCACCCACCACACAGAGCTCGCCATGCCGAAGAAGTAGAGGATCATGAACAGGATGGTGCAACCCTCCTTCTTGGTGCCTTGAGCCACCAGCTTGTAGCCATCCTCTTTAAACCTATCCACACACACTACTTGGTCCTCCAGCAGGAAGCCAGCGCTGTACGCCACCGCCACCATGAAATAGCAGCCTGACAGGAAGATGATTGGTCTCTCTGGGTATCGGAACCGCTTCATGTCCACCAGATAGGTGAGGACAGTGAAAAGGGTGCTGACACAACATAGAATAGACCAGGTTCCAACCCAGAGCCGCCCAAACTTTAGCTCATCCTCTTGGAAATACATCAACCCATTGGGTTTGGAGGGCTCACAGGGGGAGCCACAGTCCTTCACTCCGAGGAAGTGATAATTAAGGTAGGATGGCACCTGGAGCTGCAGGGGGCAGAAGAAAGGCTGGTTGCCCCAAATGTATGGAGGAAAGGTCACAAGCTCAGAAAGACTTGGGGTGGGGTCCGAGTTCGGGCCCTCGGTTTCGGTGGTGTTTTGACCGACGCAGATCTCTCCTGCACCATGGATGGGAAAGTTCTCACAGCGCAGTCTCTCAGGCCACTGGAATCCAAATTTGTTCATGAGTGCCTCGCAGCCCTGCCGAGCCCGCTCACACAGAGATCTGCAGGGAGGGATTGCCTGGTCTAGAACGGTGCAGACCGGTGCGTACATGGAGCACAGGAAGAACTTAAGGTCCAAGGAGCATTGGACTTTGACCAGAGGATAAAATTGGTGCACCTCGAGCCCGGCATCCTCCTGGGTGGTGTGCCCCAGCAGGTTGGGCATGATGGTCTGGTTGTAGGCAATGTCAGTGCACAGGGGGATGGAGATGGGCTGGCAGAAGCCATGCTCAGGGATGGAAATTCCTCGATCATGCTGACTGTTGCAAGGCTGGAAGAGATATACCAGAGTGAATCCCCAAACCCACCAGCAAAAGGAGCAGTGTCCCCCCAAAGCCATGACAGCAGATCCAACTCCAAAAAAGTTTGATCAACTTTTAAAAGGTTTTAATAAAGGTTGCAAACACAGTGCAAAGACCCCTTTATCATTCAACTAATGTTAGAAAAAAATATTTATTCAAAGTATTTCAAAGTATAGTCCTCTCTTAGGAAAAGGTGATGGTCTGCTTATGAATCCTTTCAGAGTCATATCTCAAAGAAAAGTCCTTTCTCTCACACAATGAAGCAGTAAAACTCTCCCTGAGAGTCACCCACAGTCCAACGTGGATCAAGTAGTCTGGACTGCAGTTAAGTTTATCAGTAAATCCACAGCTTGTCCGTCTGTCTGTGAAGTTGCCAGACCTCTATTCTTTCTCCTCAGTCTGCAGGACCCTTCACACTCTGTCTGTTTCTGATGGTTTTCAGGCACCCCTCCCTCTCCCCGCTTTCCCAGCAAAAGAGCAGAGTGAGAGGGGGTTCCTTGAAACCAGCCTCCTCTGCTCCAATCACACACTTTGTTTTTTCAGGAGTCTCCTGACTGATTGGTCACTGCTGCTGAAAGGGGGCGGGGCGTTGCTAAAGGAAAGCGAGTGTAGGAATCCTGCAGTTTAACTGTTTCTGTTTATTTCAATGAAATAAAGAAGAAATCCTCCTGTGCATTCAAAGTCAGGTGGAAATAGTGTAAGTGCTCAGTACTTCTTGCTTCATTTTATGTGCAGATTACTGATGGCAAATTGTTTCCTAACCAAATAAAACCTTTCTATTATACTCATTCATTTAGCACATATAAAAACTAGAGTGGTTTTCAGTCAAAGCAAACTGAAAACAGAAGTATAACATAATCCTGATAGAGAAAATGTAACAAATACAAAGTATTTACAAAATAAATATTTTTTTATTTTTATTTTTATATATTTTATTTATTTATTTGTTTATTTTATAGCCTTAAAATTAAAGGAGTGAAGCAAAAAATTGCAACAAAAACTTTAAAATATAACATCAATGAGTGAATATCTACACAAGAGTCGAAGTCTGGCTTCGGTCATTAAAAGAAATCACAAAAATATCTTTGGAAGTGATCATTCTGCACATTCATTATATTCTTATTGAATCTTATCTATCATGTGTCTATCAGCTGCTTCTCCTCAGAGACGAATAAAGTTTCCTTTGAACCTGATTGAACCACAGCTGTGAAACAAACACAATTACACTAAAGTTAGACTCTTTATTCCCTACATTCATTTTTTCTTTTCAGTTTAACATATGCATGAACTCTCAGACATCCTTCAACAACAAACTTTTCATCTTCTGTTCCATTTGTCTGGTTTGTAAATAGGTGACTCAATTCTGTCTTATTTTCTGCTTCTCGAGAAAAAAAACTTTTTTAAATGCGCTTGTGTCAACTGGTCATAATCTCATGTGTTTTCCTTTATAACCACCTGGACAGATCAGAAATCTCAGCAGATGTCTGCATAAGATTTCACCAAAACTTCCTGCATGTTCAAACATCTCACACATTTCTGCTGCATCTGGGTGGAAACACAAAGGACACGACCTTAAAAGTAGCTCAAACCCTTACCACACTAATAAAATGATTTAAGTTTCCAACATGTTGAGAAAAACAAACATCTTGATATCAGACTTCCTCCTTCTTTGACTCTGCATGACTGAAACTCTTTTGTGTATTGCATGCTTATGTCAAGAGAATGTTTGTCCTACCATCAGATATTTAGTGTGTTTATGGACTCGTGAACCTTTTGGAACTCAGGAAATACCATCACTGAAACATTTGTTTATCACTAATGTTTTGTTGTATTTTGTTTTTTTATTGGAGTGATAAGTGATTCCTGTCAGGTTCCCTGAAATCCATCATGAAGACCGTTAAAGACAGGAAAAAAGAAAAAGGCAGGAACTGACAAAATGTGATGTGGAGCTAAAAAGCAGACGTGTGACATAAGAATATGGCAGACAATTACAACACAAGACAATGTACTATGTCTTTTTAAATTTTTATTTAAAATGAAACACTAAAATTTAATTTCCTCTTAGAATAAAGAATTAGTGAAAAGCAACTTTCTGTCAAAAACTGTAAATATTGTGATTATTCAGTGAAAGATTTATTAATACTTCCATATTTTTCTTGACATTACTGATTATTTAATTGTCCTTTACTCTTATTTTGATCGTTTTCTTCGTGTCATTGTGATCCTTCAAATTAAACCACACCTGTTATAGGAAACACAAAAACATGAAGATGATAGAAAAGCTGTAAAATGGTGTTTTTATCTCCTCTGCATCTGTTTGACCTTCATCACACTGAACTTTACTCGTCTGCTTCTCGTCTCTCTGTCAACATGTTGATCGTGTAAACCAGCTTGTGCAACAGTTGCATCAGACACAAATGCAGATGCAGCGGCTCAGCGGGAGGAACGATGGACACATTAAGAGCTCAGGGCATCACACTTGACTCCTCCTCCCATCAAACATCACACAAGGTGGTGGTGGTGTTAGGGGGGGTACTGCTGCTGCTGGGCTTCATCCATAGTTGACTTCACAGAGTTTCTCCAGCTGTGGGAAGTTGCTGTTTTGATTCTTACAAAGGATCATTGGATTTAAACGCTAGAAAACCAAAAGTGTTTTAAAGTGAGCACCAGAGACTCACTTTAAAAAGCAATGGTGCACTAGTCATAGTGTTGTGGACTTTGATCTCAAAAATAGCATAGTTGGTGTGGTGATTAAAGCCCTAACTGAAATTTAAAAATGTATTTTTCAAGTCTTATTGCGGTTTGGGATTTTTCTTATTTAGATTTTAAATCATTTCTCTTCTCTTTTTTTTTTTAAATTTTGTAATCTTTGGACTCTCTGACACCGCTGTCAGCTTTACTTCCTGTCTTTGTTTTTCCTCCTTTGCTGACAGTCTGTCCAGCTCACATCGCTTTCAGCCTTGTTCATTGAAAGACAGCTGAGCCCTGCACAATGAAGCGAGTTCAGCTACGCAGAGTATCTTTCTGTTGCTGGATTCACTGACACTAACATCGCAAATCATGATAAGCGGTCACACGAAGCTTGTTATCAACTCATTAATGTTTCTTTTGACCAGTTCCAACTTGACTCAACTCTACTCAGTTTTGGTCATTTTGCCTTACAATTGAGTACCGCCTAATATGTGTGGGGTGATTATAGCAACATCCAAAGTCCTGTGACGCCATCTGTATGATGTCAAACACAACACAACAATAGACGACTTTGAGGCAAGGCCAAGCAGGTATTAAAAAGTACCTGGTACCTGATACCTGATACCTGGTACCAGGTACGAACACCTAATAAAAAATCCTAAAAACCAGGCTGTAGGTTAACCCGAGGTTTTCCCTGTATGTTCACGTGGTATCATCGGACAAATCAGTATGTGGACTGTGTGGATAAGTCTTTTTACAAATGAAGATAAATCTGGAATATCAGAGAAAAATGAAGAGGTTAAACACACAATACAGACTTAAAGTAACACATGTGAATGTGTGTGTGAGAGGAAAGCTCTGTATAGTAGTTTAAAAGCATGTATGAATGTGTGTGAGCACAGTAAGGCTGGAAATGATTTACTATATTAATAAAGTTTAGCCTGTTTGAGGACAGGAGAGATTAGTTTGTTAACCTCTGGTGGGGAAAGAGCAGTCTCAAGGACCAAGAGCAGGACTTTCTCAGTCCTCTGGCAGAGCAACTACAAATAGTCAGAAAAACAGTCAGAAATGAATTCCTCAGTGTGTGCCAGGTCTTTTTTTACACCCAAAATATGAATCACAAGTTCACATAATCAGTAAATCTTTTGTGCTCCCCTTGGTTAAAATATAGCAGCGTAAAAAGTAGCAGGAAGCTAATGTATTGAGCCAGCCAATCAGAGTTACTGTGGGCTGTGCAGTGAGATTTCTACTTGCATGAGGTACAGAGTGGGCTTAAGATGGGTCTACAGTGACCATGTACCCACATCACGGGTTTAACACAGTTAAAAATCACTCACTGCTCAGTGCTGTTGTGTTGTTTGACTATAAGGACAGTATTATTATAATCTCTGTTGTCACTGGTACAGTGCACTCATAGTATTTTAAATTTCCTCATTAAAAAGTAACGTGCAACTTGTGACCACCACCCAGACTCTGCATCCCATCATGCTTTGCACTGAAGAGAGGACGGAGAGCAGTGCACAACAACACAAGCAACAGCAAAGTGAATATTATTACAAAATTCAAATTTTATTTGACAGTATATTATAAAGTAGTTCTGTAGTCCTGATCAGTCTGTACAGGGAGCTGTGAGAATGAATGACTTCGGATGAAACCTTTGTGTTTAACTGATAAAAATCAACAAGATCCAGATTCTTAAAGCAGCTGTATTCCCCACCTTTTGTTTTTTGTTTTTTGTACATCGCGGCCCAGAGAAATCCATTGTTCATCTGCTTCTGTTTATGTAGGAATACAGATGTCATCTTAAAACAGAGCCAAAACACTGTAATTAATAACACTGTGAAAGTATCTGACTGAGCTTACTGCTACAGCTGAATATTTAAGGCTAATTAACTAAGCATTTCCCGGATCCCTGTGTGAGTTTAACTCAATACACATTTATAAAGCTTTATTAACACAGAGCAGTGACACAGCTCAGCTCTTCTGTGAGGAAGCTGGAGTCTTTATTTTCAAACTGTCAGATTTGTTTGGTTCCTGAGAAATTTTCAGACTTTATCATCTGCATGTCTTTTTTTTGTTTGTGTGTCTGAGTCTAAGCTGAAGGACTGCAGTGTGTTCACCCCCTCCCCCCCTCCTCCTCCTGCTCTGTTTTTACTGATGCAACAAAGTGAAAACTGTCCGACGTTCACAGCGTTGCACTACGCTCTCAAATTCACCTGATCCACTCTCAAGCTCGCCTTCTTTATTTCTGCCCCCCTCCTTTAGTGAGACCAGGGAGCCTTTACTGATGAAAAGCCACCATGTGAAGGGGGTCCCCGGGGTCCAGGGGGGGATTTCTTCACAGTGGAAGCTATGTTAAAGAGCAGAAGATATTAACATCCTATTACCATCCCATTC